TCAAGTATATCCAAGTCCCTGAGCAAAAGCAATCCCACGAGTGGGATTGCCTTTACCTGAAGCAGGAATAACCCAGACTGTCTTCCCCAGCAAATTCTTTAGGTGCACCACAGGAACTTTATCCCCTTTTACAGTATGTAAAAGTTCTGACTGGGCTGGGCCAGCCCAGTTGGCAGATCCTCTGGTGTTGACCAACCAGGGGGCTTTTGGTAAATGTGTATACCAATGTTTGAAAGTCCCACCACCCATTGCTCTCAGTGTAGTTTTTAACAGCCCATTGTACCGTTCGATTTTCCCAGAGGCTGGTGCATGGTAGGGGATGTGCCCTTGTGGCCAAGAAGGCCAATGGCATCCTGGGGTGTATTAGAAGGGCGGTGGTTAGTAGGTCGAGAGAGGTCCTCCTTCCCCTCTACTCTGCCCTGGTGAGACCGCATCTGGAATATTGTGTCCAGTTCTGGGCCCCTCAGTTCAAGAAGGACAGGGAGCTGCTGGAGAGAGTCCAGCGCAGGGCAACTAAGATGATTAAGGGAGTGGAGCATCTCCCTTATGAGGAAAGACTGAGAGAGCTGCGTCTCTATAGTTTAGAGAAGAGGAGACTGAGGGGTGACCTTATTAGTGTATATAAATATATAAAGGGGGAGTGTCACGAGGATGGAGCCAGGCTCTACTCAGTGGCAAACAATGATAGGACAAGGGGTAATGGGTACAAATTGGAACACAAGAGGTTCCACTTAAACTTGAGAAGAAACTTCTCAGTGAGGGTGACAGAACACTGGAACCGGCTGCCCAGGGAGGTTGTGGAGTCTCCTTCCCTGGAGACATTCAAAACCCGCCTGGACACATTCCTGTGTAACCTTATCTAGGTGTTCCTGCTCCGGAAGGGGGATTGGACTAGATGATCTTTTGAGGTCCCTTCCAATCTCTAGCATACTGTGATACTGTGTGATGTGATATACCCACTCAATGCCATGCTCTTTGGCCTAAGTGTCTATAAGGTTGTTCCAGAAATGGGTCGCATTGTCTTACTCAGTTTTCTCTGGGGTGGCACATCACCACAAAATCTGTTTCTCAAGGCCCAGGATAGTGTTCCGGGCAGTGGTGTGGGGCACAGTGTACATTTCCAGCCACCCGGTGGTTGCTTCACCATGGTAAGCACATGGTGCTTGCCTTGGCGGGTTGGTGGGAGTGTGATATAATCAATCTGCCAGGCCTCCCCATATTTGTATTTCAGCCATCATCCTCCATACCAAGGAGGCTTTAAACTTTTGTCTTTCTTAATTGCAGCACGTTTCACACTCATTAATAACCTAGGAAATAGTGTCCATTCTTAAATCCACCCCTCGATCACGAGCCCATCTATATGCTGCATCTCTGCCCTGACGACCTGAAGTGTCATGGGCCCACCGGGCCAAAAATAATTCACCCTTATGTTGCCAATCTAAGTCCATCAGAGCCAGTTCAATCTTAGCAGCTTTATCCACTTGTTGGTTGTTCTGGTGTTCCTCAGTGGCCCAACTCTTGGGTACATGAGCATCTGCATGGCGTAACTTCACCACCAGGTTCTGCACCTGGGCAGCGATATCTTGCCACAGTGCAGCAGCCCTGATGGGTTTACCTCTGCGTTGCCAGTTGCTCTGCTTCCATTGTTTCAACCACCCCCACAGGGCATTTGCCACCATCCATGAATCAGTATAGAGATAAAGTACTGGCCACTTTTCTCGTTCAGCAATGTCCAGGGCCAGCTGGATGGCTTTCACCTCTGCAGACTGACTCCATTCACCCTCTCCTTCAGCAGTTTCTGCAACTTGCTGTCAGGGACTCCATTCAGCTGCCTTCCATCTCCGATGCTCTCCCACAAAATGGCAGGTCCCATCAGTAAACAAGTCATATTGCTTTTTACTTTCTGACAGTTTATTATATGGTGGGGCCTCTTCAGAACGCATCACCTCCTCCTCTGGTGACATTCCGAAATCTTTGCCCTCAGGCTAGTCCATGATGACTTCTAGTATTGCTGAACGACTGGGATTTCCTATTTGACCTTGTTGTGTGTTTTTTGCAGCCTTCTTACTCCATGTAGCATCAGTTGCATGATGTGTAGAGGAGACTCTGCCTTTGAACATCCATCCCAGTACGTGCAACCGGGGTGACAGGAGGACCTGTGCTTCAGTGCCAATCACTTCCAAAGCAGCTTGAACCCCTTCATAGGCTGCCAATATCTCTTTTTCAATTGGGGTATAGCTGGCCTCAGATCCTCTGTATCCCTGAATCCAAAAGCCAAGGGGTCGACCTTGAGTCACCCCTGCAGCTTTCTGCCAGAGGCTCCAGGTAGGACTATTCTCCTCAGCTGTGGTGTAGAGTACATTTTTTACATCTGGCCCAGTCTGGACTGGTCCAAGGGCTACTGCATAAACTATATCTTGTTTAATTTGCTCAAAGGCTTGTTGTTGCTCGGGGCCCCATTTGAAATCATTCTTCTTCCATGTCACATGATAGAGAGGGCTTACAATCAAACTGTAATTTGGGATGTGCATTCTCCAGAAGACCACAACACCTAAGAAAGCATGTTTATTTCTTATTAGTTGGTGGAGACATTGCTGTTATCTCGTTGACCAGATCTGTGGGGATCTGGTAACATCCATCTTGCCATTTTATTCCCTAAAATTGAATCTCCTGTGCAGGTCCCTTGACCTTACTCCATTTTATGGTAAAACCGGCTTTCAGCAGGATTTGGATTATTTTCCTCCCTTTCTCAAAAACTCCTTCCACTTTATCTATCTCCCCACATGATAATGTCATCAATGTATTGCAGGTGTTCTAGAGCTTGCCCCTGTTCCAGTGCAGTCTGGATCAGTCCATGGCAGAAGGTAGGGCTGTATTTCCACCCCTGGGGAAGTCGATTCCACATGTACTGAATGCCCCTCCAAGTAAAAGCAAAAAGTGGCCTGCATTCTGCTGCCAAAGGAACTGAGAACAATGCATTGGCAGTATCAGTTGTGGCATACCACTTGGCTGCCTTTGACTCCAGTTCATATTGAAGTCCTATCATGTCGGGTACTGCAGCACTCAATGGTGGTGTAACTTCATTCTCTGCTCCAGTTTCCATTAGACTTTCATGCTGGCCCTATGGGGCTATTAAAGACTGAGTGGATTGGTCCTTTGGTTCAGCTGCAGTTCCTGCTACTGGGTTTGGAGTTGCTGCAGTGTCTGGTGTTGGAGTTGGAGTAGCTGTTGTGCTTGTTGCTTTTGTTGCTTGGGATGGAGCAGCTGCATTGTGTTTTGCTGTGCCATCACATCCAGAGACATCTTTTTAGCGCTCCTCACAGAGCAGGACTCTGCAGGCACAGGCCAAGCCCCAGCATAGTGCTGTGATTTTTCCCTCTCTGCTCTTGCCAGGAAGACAGCACATCTTGTTTAAGTGATCTGCTAATTTTTCTGGATTTTGCATTTCATTAGAGTGGAATTCCAAAACACTGGATGGGCCAAGTGGCCTAGGCGCTTGTTCATACGATCCTACAACACCCTGCCGCTCATGACTCTCCAGCCTCGGGGAAGACCTCTTGGTGATATTCTTAAATAGTTGTTTAACCTTAGACAAGACCCAAGACAGATCCTGCTTAGCTTCCAAGATCAGATGAGATCAGGTTTTCTGAGGGTGGTATGGCCGTGGGTAAAACACAAGCAGCATATTCAGCAACATGCTGGTTCCCAGCAAAAGAAGCAGGTTGGTTTCAAGGGCATCTAAAGGATATTCATAATCTTTAAAATTCATCACATCTACTGTAAGTAGCCTAGTGGGGGAGCGGAGGGTGTGAGAGGATGTCACCTTTCTAGGTTGGCCCTCTGAGGAGGGGAAAAAAAGAGGTGCAATTGTTAAAAATTCCCATTACATGCCTCCCAAAGTATAGAGGTGATGGCCATGCTGGGAACGCATATCAGAGTGGTTTCATGATCAATAATTCTATTGTACAACAAACCAAGAACCTTAGCACAGGCCCCAAATCCGATAAACACAGCAAATACTGTCTGTAAGGTGTGACATGCTGAAACTCTGAGACCAAGTACAACAACTCTGAGAGCAAATAAATCAACATTGTGACGAATGACTATTAATCTGAAACAATGAATGCTTATCACAAATACAATTAGACACACTCTGATCAGATGTGATGTAATCTCAACCCTTTGCACCCCACATTGGGCACAAAAAATGACTGTTGTGGTTTAAACCCAGTGGGTAACTCAGCACTGCGTAGCTGCTTGTTCACTCCCTGCCCCTTCTTCCCCCCTGCTCCCAGAGGGATGGGGAGGAGAATCAAAAGTATGTAAATCCCACGGGTTGAGATAAGAACAGTCCAATAACTAAAGAATAATACAAAACTACTACTGCTAATAATGATAAGGGAGATAACAAGGGGAGAGAATATAAAACTAAAAAGGGAAGGAAAAAAAAAACCCAACCAAAAATAAACACAAGTGGTGCACCAAACAATTGCTCACCACCTGCCGACCAATACCCCCCAGCCCAACCCAACCAGTGTTCTGGGCTTTCCGGGTGACTCCCCCCCTAGTTTATATACTGGGCATGACATGCTGTGGTATGGAATACCCCTTTAGCTAGTTTGGGTTAGGTGTTCTGTCTCTGCTTCATGTTGGCTTCCTGTGTCCCTCCTCACTGGCAGAGCACAAGAGACTGAAAAGTCCTTGATCAGAGTAAGCATTACTTAGCAACAAATAAAATATCGGTGTGTTATCATCATTGTTCTCAGACTAAAGTAAAAAGCACAGCACTGAACCAGCTACTAGGAAGGAGAAAAACAACTGTTACAGCTGAACCCAGGATACTGGGGAAGGAGGGTCTTCCTTGAGAGCTGGTGATGGGGCTGGCTGGGTGTCCTCTGGCAGTGCTGGTAGGTATGTGTAGGTGTGGGGCTGTTGCTGGTGGTTCTTGCTGGGACAGCCGGCCCTGAGGGAGTGGGCACATTGCCCTTGGGGGCATGGGGGGGCCTGGAGGGGACCAGAAGGCTGATATCCCATCCCATAGGGGAGCTGGTGTGGTGAAGCCATTCTCCATCATGGCTGGTATCCCGAGTGGTGACTGCTTGGTCTCTTTTTCCATTTCCTCCCATCTCCCACAGTGGAGAACAGGCAGCCGACTCTGGATGTGCAGATGGAGAACAAAGGCAGCGTTGTCTCTGGTGGAGAGCTGATGATTTTCCTGGACGAGCCTGCTGCTGATCTTGGAAGCCTGCCTAATGCCAGTTCTGTGACAGAGGATGAGTGCTGCCCATCTCCACATGCATGTGGCAGCTCAGTGCACAAGGTGGTGAGCAGCAGCAGGGAGAGGAGTGGGTCTGAGAGCACCCCTGGCACCCCTGAGCAAGAGTCTCAGTGCCAGCAGCCACCTTCTCTCCCAGGTAAGGCTTTGGCCCCTGCCCTCCCCGCCTTGCACATGGGCTCCCGTGGGAGCAAGCATGTGGTGGGGCAGGAGCAGGAGCATCAACAGGCTCATACCCTGCCTCCATGATGGCATGAGAGGAGAGGTGCTGCTCCAAGCCCTTCTCCAGGTGCTCCACCAGCCACACCTGTGGCTTAGCCCCTTCTTTCGCTGTCCTGTGTGGACTGGGGAAATGGCTTCTGTACTTAACAAATGCAGAAAAGGGCTCCTTATGGCAGAGCATGTGTGGAGACATCAACTGACATCTGCTAGGGGAGCGAGCAGAGTTTGTGCTGGACAGGGGCTGGTGCATTGCTTCCCTTGGCTCATTCTCTTCCTCACTGGGAGATGAAGCTGGTGAAATCTGGTAATCTTTAATGTGGCCACTCTCTGGTGTTGCCACTTCTGCAAAGGCCTACATTTACCTTCCCTGGTGCTGTGCTTGGAGTTGCAGGGTGCTGTAGGGATGGGCTATGCCACGGCATGGCAGTGGGCAAGTAGAGCACCTCAGTGCAAAAGCAGGGGTTTCTTGTGTGCTGGTGGGTCCCTTGTGGAAGGAGGGATGGAAGGAAGGAGGGATGGAAGGAAGGAGGGTAGAACTAATAGGTGTCTTGGTCATTTTCTTCACTCATTCAGGGTCCCAGCTGTCTGGATGGGACCCGAACAGCATGGCTGCAGCCATGGAGAGCTAGCCCATGGATCGGAGCTAGCCCAGCTAGAGCCACAGCCGGCACGCTTCAGGGACCGCAAGGTTCAACAGAGATTAGGAAAATCAGAGGGGATAGCACAGAGGAATCGCGATTCCCGACATCTCCCGATCCCCGAAGCCCCATCAGCCCTTGCGAGAGAGCGGCTGACGTGGTGGGGGGCGTTCCCACGCTGACGGCGACCACCCCCCTGCCCCTTGCCTTGAAAGAGCCTCTGAGAGGGGAGCGATGTGTCGCGGCCCACCAGGCGCAGGGAGGAACAAGTAGGTTGTGTTGCTGACCCTGTCGCTGGTGTCTCAGACTGCTGACCAATATGGTCGCCTCCAGAAAGAGAGCTTGCAGTAAGAAGACTGTAGCAGCTCAGACAGTAGACCCCGTCCCAAACCATGGCTGTTCAGGTCTCTGGATGCAGGGAGTGCCAGAGCCTGCTGCTGCCGGGGGAGGGAGGACAGCATTCCACCTGTGTGAGGTGTGAGCAGGTAGAAGATCTACTTAGCTTGGTGGTAAAACTTAAGGAGGAGGTTGAGATGCTGAGGACCATAAGGGAGTGTGAAAGGGAGATCGACTGGTGAAGTAACTCCCTGGCGTGCCAACTGGAACAGTTCCAGGGAGATACCCCCCAAAAGGGGATGGACCCCCTGCCCTCTCAGACAGAGGGGAATGGCCTGAGACAGCCCCTGCCGTGTAGCTGTTGTGCAGAGGTAGGGGACCAAAAAGATGACGAGGGTTGGAAGCGAGTTCCAGTTCGACGTCGTGGGAAACCCTCCTCCCTTCCTGCCCTGCTTCCCCAGGTGTCCCTCTGTAATAGGTTCGAGGCCCTGGATCTTGAAGGAGAGGTAGGTGAGGATGTGGTGCAAGGCCCGCCTACAAGGCCACATAGGAAAAGGCGGTCGACTTTGCACCTCAAGACTGCCTCTGATAAGAAAGAAAGAAGGGTCATTGTAGTAGGGGATTCCCTTCTGAGAGGAACAGAGGGCCCAATATGCAGAGTTGACCCTCATCATAGGGAAGTGTGTAGTCTGCCTGGAGCCCGGATCAGGGATATCACTAGGGCGCTCCCCAACCTGGTGCACCCGACGGACTACTACCCACTGCTGGTCTTCCAGACAGGTGAGGGGGAAGCTGCTTCCTCCAGTCTGAGGGGGATGAAGAAAGACTATAGGGCCTTGGGGCGGATGGTGAAAGAGTCTGGGGCTCAAGTGATCTTCTCCTCACTCCTTCCATCTTCCATTGATTATGTGGGACGGAATGGGAAAATTCAGTCCATAAATGATTGGCTTCGAGACTGGTGCTACAGGCAGGACTTTGGATTCTTTGATAACAACTGGTTTTATAGGGCACCAGTCTGGACAATGACATGTGGGAAAGGTTTGTCTCACAGAGGCAAAAGGATGCTGGGGCACGAATTAGCAGAGCTCATTTGGAGAGCTTTAAACTAGATTCGAAGGGGGATGGGGTTGTAGCTGGGCTTGCCCTAGTGGGGCAGCACTCCAGAATTGATGAAGACTGGGAGGCCTCCTATAATCCTAGGGTGAAATCGGTGTGCTCAGCTCGCTCCCTGAAATGTCTGTACACCAATGCGCACAGCATGGGAAATAAGCAGGAGGAGTTAGAAACCTGTGTTAAGTCAGGAGACTATGATCTGGTGGCAATTACAGAGACGTGGTGGGACAGCTCACATGACTGGAATATAGTCATGGAGGGCTATGTCCTTTTCAGGAAAGACAGGCCAGCCAGGCGGGGTTGCTCTTTATGTGAGGGAGCAACTACAATGCCCGAGTTCTGTCCAGGGACAGATGACGAGCGAGTTGAGAGTCTGTGGGTGAGAATTAAGGGGTAGGCTGGCAGGGGTGATACTGTTGTGGGTGTCTGTTACAGGCCACCAGATCAGGGTGAGGAAGTTGACGAGGCCTTCTACAGGCAGCGGAGAGCAGCCTCACAGTCACAGGCCATGGTTGTCGTGGGGGATTTTAACTTCCCTGATGTTTGCTGGAAGGACTACTCAGCAACCCAGCCACAGTCCAGAAGGTTCCTCCAGTGTATGGATGATAACATCCTCCTGCAAATGGTGGATGAGCCAACCAGGAGAGGAGCGCTGCTGGATCTCATCCTCACTAACAAGGAGGGTCTGGTCGAAGCAGTAAGGGTTGAGGGCTGCCTTGGTTGCAGCGACCACGAGATGGTGGAATTCAGGGTCTTGTGTGGTAGGACTAGTAGAATACCAAGTAGAATTGCAACCCTGGACTTTAGCAGGGCAAACTTTGGCCTTTTCAAGCAATTGCTAGGGGAAAGCCCATGGGCAAGGCTGCTTGAAGGTAAAGGGGCCCAAGATAGTTGGTTGGCATTCAAGGACTGCTTTTTCTGAGCTCAAGATCGGAGCATCCCGACACGTAGGACGTCAAGGAAGAGGGCCAGGAGACCTGCGTGGCTAAAAAGGGAATTGCTGGGTATGTTCAAGTGGAAGAGGAGAGTTTACAGGTCATGGAAGGAGGGGCTGGCCACTTGGGAGGAATATAAGGCTGCTGCTAGAGGATGTAGGAAGGCAGCTAGGAGGACTAAGGCCTCCTTAGAATTAAATCTGGTGAGAGGGGTCAAGGACAGCAGAAAGAGCTTTTTCAAATACATGGCAGATAAAACTAACACCAGAGTCAATGTAGGCCCACTGATGAACGGGATGGGTGCCCTGGTGACAGAAGATACAGAGATGGCAGAGTTACTGAATGCCTTCTTTGTCTCTGTCTGCTCTGCTGCAGGCACTCCTGAAGAGCCCTGTACCCCTGAGACCTTAGATGAAGTCAGGTCAACGGAGTGGTTTGCCTTAGTCGATGAGGAATGGGTTAGAGACCAGTTGAGCAATCTGGACATCCATAAATCCATGGGTCCAGATGGGATGCACCCGCGGGTGCTGAGGGAACTGGCAGAAGTCATTGCTAGACCACTCTCCATCATCTTTACCAAGTCTTGGGAAATGGGAGAGGTGCCCGAGGACTGGAGGAAAGCAAATGTCACTCCAGTCTTCAAAAAGGGCAAGAAGAAGGACCCGGGTAACTATAGACTGGTCAGCCTCACCTCCATCCCTGGGAAAGTGATGGAACACCTTATCCTTGGTGCCATCTTAAGGCATATCAAGGATAAGAGGGTTATGAGGGGCAGTCAACATGGCTTCACCAAGGGGAAGTCATGCTTGACCAATCTCTTAGCCTTTTATGAGGAAATAACACGGTGGATGGATGATGGCAGAGCGGTGGATGTGGTCTACCTTGACTTCAGCAAAGCATTTGACACAGTCTCCCACAGCATCCTCACAGCTAAATGGAGGAAGTGTGGTCTGGATGATCAGGTAGTGAGGTGGACTGTGAACTGGCTGAAGGAGAGAAGCCAGAGAGTTGTAGTCTATGGGGCGGAGTCTAGTTGGAGGCCTTTATCTAGTGGAGTGCCTCAAGGGTCAGTACTGGGACCAGTATTATTTAATATATTCATCAATGATTTAGATGAGGGAATTGAGTGTACTATCAGCAAGTTTGCTGATGACACTAAGCTGGGAGGAGTGGCTGACGCGCCAAAAGGCTGTGCTGCCATCCAGTGAGACCTGGACAGGCTGGAGAGTTGGGCAGGGAATAACTTGATGAAATATAACAAGGGAAAGTGTAGAGTCCTGCATCTGGGCAGGAACAACCCCAGGTTCCAGTATAGGTTGGGGAACGACCTGTTAGAGAGCAGTGTAGGGGAGAGGGACCTGGGGGTCCTAGTGGACGACAGGATGACCATGAGCCAACACTGTGCCCTTGTGACCAAGAAGGCCAATGGCATCCTGGGGTGTATTAGAAGGGGGGTGGTTAGTAGTTCGAGAGAGGTCCTCCTTCCCCTCTACTCTGCCCTGGTGAGGCCGCATCTGGAATATTGTGTCCAGTTCTGGGCCCCTCAGTTCAAGAAGGACAGGGAGCTGCTGGAGAGAGTCCAGCGCAGGGCAACTAAGATGATTAAGGGAGTGGAACATCTCCCTTATGAGGAAAGACTGAGGGAGCTGGGTCTCTGTAGTTTAGAGAAGAGGAGACTGAGGGGTGACCTTATTAGTGTATATAAAAATATAAAGGGGGAGTATCACGAGGATGGAGCCAGGCTCTACTCAGTGGCAAACAATGATAGGACAAGGGGTAATGGGTACAAACTGGAACACAAGAGGTTCCACTTAAACTTGAGAAGAAACCTCTTCTCAGTGAGGGTGACAAAACACTGGAACAGGCTGCCCAGGGAGGTTGTGGAGTCTCCTTCC